AGGAAATATATTTTTCCGCCCTTTTAATATTTCCTTCTCTTGTGGGGGGGGGCTAACTTCAGGTTTTCAATTCCCACGATCCTTTATCATTGCTCATCCCAGATGGGGAAGAGGGGAACTGAAATCCATGTCCTGGTTGAGGGCTACCTGCAAACTCATCCGTGGTGGCAGATTGAGGAAGCGATCCTGCACCAAACCGCAACTAGGCCTAACCTCCCTTGAACTTGCTCGCAGTGGTGCAATCCTGGAGAGAGCTAGGAAAGAGTATCAAGAGGAGCTTACGGGAGTGTTCACAGGATCAAGCCATTTGTGTGGGAGGTAGGAGTGACCCAGCAGCCGTGCCCTTCTGGAAGGTGATCTTGTGAAACCGTGGAAATAGAACAGAACAGAATCAGAGAGCTGGAAGGGGCCTTGGAGGTCATCTAGTCCAACCCCTTGCTTGACCAGGAGACCCTATATACTATTTCAGACAAGCGGTTCTCCAATCTCTTCTTAAACGCCTCCAGTGATGGAGCATTCACCGCTCCTGGTGGCAAGTCGTTCCACTGGTTAATTCTCCTGACTGTCAGGAAGTTTCTCCTTAGTTTCAGGTTGCTTCTCTCCTTGATGAGTTTCCACCCATTGCTTCTCGTCCTACCTTCAGGCGCTTTGGAGAATAGCTTGACTCCCTCTTCTTTGGGGCAGCCCCTGAGATACTGGAAGGCGGCTATCCTGTCCCCCCTCATCCTTCTCTTCATTCAACTAGACCAGTGGTTCTCAACCTTTTTAATGCCGCGAGCCCCAACCAGTCATAAGTCGAGGACTACTCAACCGGTTGTAAGTCGAGGACTACTCCACTGGTGCAGCACCGTTTGCAGAATGGGACTTTTGGCGGACTCAGCAGGGCAGAGACAGCCTGGACAATTCCTATTGGCTTTTGAGAGCCAATAGAATTAGACTCTATTCAAGAGAGTCTATTCTATTGGCTTTCAAAAGCCAATAGAATAAAAGGGAATAGCACAGCTAAGGAAAAGGGGGGGAAAAATGGCGGACTGCGTTGTTTGGCGACCCCCGGGAAATGGTCGTTCGACCCCAAATGGGGTCCCGACCCCACAGGTTGAGAACCACTGCGCTAGACATATCCAAATTCCTACAACCGTTCTTCGTATGTTTCAGCCTTCGATGCCTTAATCAGTAACATCATCAGGGCTAGTCTGGTGGCTTTCTTGCAGACATTTCATGACCCAAGTAGGTAACATCATCAGGGCTAGAAGGGAGGAGGAGGAGGAGGAGGAGGAGGAGGAGGAAGACGAAGACTGTGGGATCCTTAGTGCTCTCTGAACTAGGTGGTTGTCTTGCAGACATTTCATGACCCAACTAGGTAACATCATCAGGGCTAGAAGGGAGGAGGAGGAGGAGGAGGAGGACTGTGGAGTCCTTGCTGCTCTCTGAGTTTGGTGGCTTTCTTGCAGACGTTTCATGACCCAACTAGGTAACCTCATCAGGGCTGGTAATGAAGCGTCTACCAGGAAAACAACCAAGCTCAGAGGCCACCAAGGACCCCTCAGATACTCAAATGCTGGGATGTGTCTCCACCTGCAAAGATCGGAATGGTGCTGCTTCCTGTGTCCCCCTCGGTACTGAAAGTTGGACTCGGAAGAACGAGAAATCCACACCTTCTTCGGTGTGATGGGAGTCCTCCATTTCTGAGCACAGTGGGGGCCAGAGTTTTCGTTGCTAAGCAGAGCGGTTATTAAGTGGGGAGGAAGAACATGGGTGGTTTTGAGCTTTGGTGTTGGAGAAGATTCCTGAGCAGACTGTGGGCAACTAAGAAAACAAACATCAAATAAATCAAACCCCCCCTTTCCTCTTTCCCTGCCCTTCCCTACCCTTTCCCCCTTTCCTTTCTCGTTTTCCTTTCCCCTTTTTCTCATTTTCCTTTCCCCCTTTCCTTTCCCCTTCCCTTCCCTTCTTTTCCTTTCCCTTCCTTTCTCTTCTCTATTCCTTTTCTTTCTTCTTTCCCCTTTTTCCTTCCCCTTTATTTTCCCCTCTTCCTTCATCTCCCTTCCCTTTCTTTCTTTCCTTCCCTTTCCTTTCCTTTCCTTTCCTTCTTTCTTTCCTTCCCTTCCCTCTTCCTTTCCTTTCCTTCCTTCCCTTCCCTCTTCCTTTCCTTTCCTGTCCCTTCCCTTCCTTTCCTTCTACTTCCTTCCCTTCCCTTCCCTTCCCTTCCCTTCCCTTCCTTTCCTTTCCTCTTCCTTTCCTTTCCCTTTCCTCTTCCTCTTCCTTTCCTTTCCTTCCTTCCCTTCCCTCTTCCTTTCCTTTTCTTTCCTTCTATTTCCTTCCCTTCCCTCTTCCTTTCCTTTCCTGTCCCTTTCCTTCCCTTCCCTTCCTTTCCTTCTACTTCCTTTCCTTCCCTTCCCTCTTCCTTTCCTTTCCTTCCCTTTCCCTTTCCTTCTACTTGCTTCCCTTCCCTTCCTTCCCTTTCCCTTCCCTCTTCCTCTTCCTCTTCCTTTCCTTTCCTTTCCTTCCTTCCTTCCCTTCCCTCTTCCTTTCCTTTTCTTTCCTTCTATTTCCTTCCCTTCCCTCTTCCTTTCCTTTCCTGTCCCTTTCCTTCCCTTCCCTTCCTTCCTTCTACTTCCTTTCCTTCCCTTCCCTCTTCCTTTCCTTCCCTTCTACTTCCTTCCCTTCCCTTCCCTTCCTTTCCCTTTCCTCTTCTACTTGCTTCCCTTCCCTTCCTTCCCTTTCCCTTCCCTTCCCTCTTCCTTTCCTTTCCTTTCCTTCTACTTCCTTCCCTTCCCTTCCCTTCCTTTCCTTTCCCTTTCCTCTTCCTTTCCTTTCCTGTCCCTTCCCTTCCTTCTACTTCCTTTCCTTCCCTTCCCTTTCCTTTCCTTCTACATCCTTCCCTTCCAGTTTGGGCACTCGGTCTCTAAAAGGTTCGCCATCACTGCTCTACACCATTTCGGACAAGTGGCTGTCCAGTCTTTTCTTAAAAACTTCCAGTGTTGGAGCATTCACTGCTTCTGGAGGCAGGCTGTTCCACTGGTTAATTGTTCTCACTGTCAGGAAGTTTCTCCTTAGTTCCAGGTTGCTTCTCTCCTTGATGAGTTTCCATCCGTTGCTTCTTGTCCTGCCTTCTGGTGCTTTGGAGAATAGCTTGACTCCCTCTTCTTTGGGGCAGCCCCTGGGATACTGGAACGCTGCTATCATGTCCCCCCTCGTCCTTCTCTTCATTAAACTAGACATACCCAATTCCAGCAACTGTTCCTTCATATGCTTTAGCCTCCAGCCCCCTGATCATCTTTGTTGCTCTTCTCTGCACTCTTTCTAGAGTCTCAGCAGAGTTTAGGGGATTTCAGTGTCGGTGTTCTGTTTATAAAGGATTCAGGTGTGGGTGTGTCAAGTGAGGGTCTTGTGATGGGTCTTGTGGTAGGTCAGATGTGAGTCATTAGTGGGAGGCTTGTGATGGGTCTTGTGATGGGAAGTTACATCAGATCAGGGTCATTGGGAGGTGAAGTGCTGGTGGGAGTGGGGGATTGCGCTGGATGGTAGACATCCCCAATTCCAGCAACCGTTCCTTATATGCTTTAGCCTCCAGTCCCCAAATCATCTTTGTTGCTCTTCTCTGTACTCTTTCTAGAGTCTCAGCAATTAAAATTAGTTCAGTTTTAATATAAAGTGCCCCGAGCCATTTAAGGAAGGGCAGGTTGGACATGAAATGAAATAAATGAGGACGGCCACAATAAAATCAGCAGCATTTTCATAACCTGTTGAGTTATTTTCATTATCAGGGTATCTGTCCACAGAGAAAGATCAAAGGAATCAAACTGGCACCCATGTTGGTGCAACTAAAGCTTTGACGACATCGTTGCGGAGGCCATCTTGATTTGTTTGACCGTTCCATGCGGACCCATCTGGATCGTGCCGTTATGTGGGCAAATTTGAGCATGATGTTATGAATAGAGACCATTTGGTGCAATGGTTAAGGTGCCGGCCTAAAAACTAGGAGAGGGTGAGGTCTAGTCCCGCCTTAGGCAGGAAAGCTGGCTGGGTGACTTTGAGCCAATCAGCAGGAGACTGGGAGTTCTAGTCCTGCCTTAGGCAGCAAAGCTGGCAAGGTGACTTTGGGCCTATCACCAGGTGACAGAGAATTCTAGTCCCAACCTAAGCATGAAAGCTAGGTGGGTAATTTGGGGCCAATCTTCAGGAAATGAAGCTCTAGTCCAGCTGGGTGACTTTGGGCCAATCACCAGGAGACTGGGAGTTCTAGTCCCGCTTTAGCCATGAAACCTAGCTGCCTGACTTTGGGCCAATCACCAGGAGACTGGGAGTTCTAGTCCAGCTGGGTAACTTTGGGCCAATCACCAGGAGACTGGGAGTTCCAGTCCAGCTGGGTGACTTTGGGCCAATCACCAGGAGACTGGGAGTTCTAGTCCCGCTTTAGCCATGAAACCTAGCTGCCTGACTTTGGGCCAATCACCAGGAGACTGGGAGTTCTAGTCCAGCTGGGTAACTTTGGGCCAATCACCAGGAGACTGGGAGTTCTAGTCCAGCTGGGTAACTTTGGGCCAATCACCAGGAGACTGGGAGTTCCAGTCCAGCTGGGTGACTTTGGGCCCATCACCAGGAGACAGTGAGTTCTAGTCCTGCTTTAGCCATGAAAGCTAGCTGCCTGACTTTGGGACCAATCACCAGGAGATGATGAGTTCTAGTCCCACCATAGGCATGAAAGCCAGTTGGGTGACTTTGGGCCCATCACCAGGAGACGGTGAGTTCTAGTCCCGCCTTAGGCTTGAAAAATCAGATGAGTGGTTTTGGACCAGTCAATCTCTCTCAGTTCAGCCCACTTCAGAGGGGAAAATAGATGGATTAGCTATATTCACCCCTCTGAATGACCAATAAAGGGATAAAGGTAGGGTTTAAAAAAAAAAAAATCTATTAAATTCAATCCGATCCAATTCAATTCAATTCATGAGCAGAAGACCTGCCGGCCATGGTAACTAACCAAGTTTCCTTTCATCTAGTTTAGAACGATGATCAAAGACATCAAGGAGATGGTCCCTCTTATGGGGACCAAGAAGCTGAGTCCTCAGGAGACTGCGGCGGCGGCTGGCCAGGATAAGAGGACAGCCGAAGGTACCCCCATCAAGAAGAGGTAAGTGACCCATTTCTTGGCAGATGTTACAGCTGCCGTGCAAAGCTGGAGATTCCACAAACTGTCTTGATCAGTGGTTCTCAACCTTTTTAATTCCGCGACCCCCAACCGGTCGTAAGTCGAGGACTACTCAACCGGTCGTAAGTCGAGGACTACTCAACTGGTGCAGCACCGTTTGCAGAATAGGACTTTTGGCGGGCTCAGCAGGACAGAGACAGCCTGGACAATTCCTATTGGCTTTTGGAAGCCAATAGAATTAGACTCTATTCAAGAGAGTCTATTCGATTGGCTTTCAAAAGCCAATAGAATAAAAGGGAGTAGCACAGCTAAGGAAAAGGGGGAAAAAAATGGCGGACTGCGTTGTTTGGCGACCCCCGTGAAATGGTCGCTCGACCCCAAATGGGGTCCTGACCCAGAGGTTGAGAACCACTGCTCTTGATGAAAGGATACCGCTGGATTATCACAGTCGACCTATTTCTGTACCTTGCATAATGGGGAGAGTGACGGAGTTTTGGATCATGGGGAGCATCAAAACCATTTAAGTGGCTCAGTTAGAGTAGGAGGAGAGTCAAATTAATTTAGGGTATGAAAAAAAATCAGGAGTCTGGTAGCCCCTTTTTTAAAAAAAAAATAAACCAGTTTTATTTCAGCTACCAGAATCCTGAGTTTTCAACCTGGTCCATTCCATATATCAGTGTTTCTCAATCTGGACAAGTTTTAAGATGGGTGGACGTCAACTCCCAGAATTCCCCAGCCAGCATGCTTCAGGATGGGTGGACTTCCGCTCCCAGAATCCCCTAGCCAGCATGCTTTAAGAAGGGTGGACTTCCACTCCCAGAATTCCCCAGCCAGCATGCTTTAAGAAGGGTGGACTTCCACTCCCAGAATTCCCCAGCCAGCAGGCTTCAAGAGGGCTGGATTTCCACTCCCAGAATTCCCCAGCCAGCATGCTTTAAGAGGGGTGGATTTCCACTCCCAGAATTCCCCAGCCAGACTGCTTTAAAAGGGGTGGATTTCCACTCCCAGAATTCCCCAGTCAGCATGCTTTAAGAGGGGTGGATTTCCACTCCCAGAATGCCCCAGCCAGCATGCTTTAAGAGGGGTGGATTTCCACTCCCAGAATTCCCCAGCCAGCCTGCTTTAAGAGGGATGGACCTCCACTCCCAGAATTCCCCAGCCAGCCTGCTTTAAGAGGTGTGGATTTCCACTCCCAGAATCCCCCAGCCAGCATGCTTTAAGAGGGGTGGATTTCCACTCCCAGAATTCCCCAGCCAGCATGCTTTAAGAGGGGTGGATTTCCACTCCTAGAATCCCCCAGCCAGCATGCTTCAAGAGGGGTGGACTTCCACTCCCAGAATCCCCCAGCCAGCATGCTTTAAGAGAGGTGGATTTCCACTCCCAGAATTCCCCAGCCAGCCTGTTTTAAGAGGGGTGGTCTTCTCTTCTGGCTGCAGAAGACCAAGTCTGAAGGACAAAGTCATAGAAAGCCAAAATGGTGAAGATAGGAACAGACAGCAAGGGACACCTCTGCAAAGAAGCTGAAGAAACAGTGGACCACCTGCTAAGCTGCTGCAAGAAGATCACCCGGACTGACTACAAACAGCGGCATGACAAAGATGCAACAATGGTGCATTGGAAGATCTGCAAGAAACACCGTTTGCCTGCAAGCAAGAACTGGTGGGACCATAGAATCCAGAAAGTCATAGAAAATAAAGAAGCTAAACCGCTCTGGGGCTTCAGAATTCAAACCGTCAGGCACCTGCCACACAACACCCCAGATTTAACAATTGTTTGTAAGAAAGACAACAAAAAAAAAGTCTGAATAGTGGACGTGGCAGTGCCTGGAGACAGTAGGATAGAACCGGAGAAGGTAACAAAATACAAAAAACAACAACAACCTGCAAATAGAAATAAAATGACTATGTCAAAAGAAAGCAGAGATAATCCCTATAGGCATAGGTGCCTTGGGTGCAATCCCAAAACCTCTGGAGCACCATCGGCCTTGACAAAATCTCCGTCAGTCAATTGCAAAAGGCAGCTTTACTTGGAAGAGCTGAAATCCTGTGATGAAACTTTTACCACCGTCAAAACATCCACATCTGCCCATCCCAGGACCTTGGAAAGGACTCCATAAGTGGATAAAAATGCCAAATCCAATCTGAACATCTGGCTGACTATGCAAAGAACCACAATAAGCCAAACATCTGGAGCACCCCTTAAAACACTCTTGGCATTGACAAATTCTCCAGCAATCAATTGCGAAAGGCAGCTTGATTGGGAACGGCTGACATCCTGTAACAATACCTCTAAACACCACCAAACACCCACATCTGTCTATCCCGGGTCCTTGGGAAGGACTCCCTAGATGGATAAAAATGCCAAATCCAGTCTGAACATCTGGCTGACTATGCAATGAACGGTCCTCATCATAACAAATTACCCTCCGTCAATTTCCAAAGGCAGCTTGACTTGGAATAATTCTGCAACCAGACCTGTATTATTAAACAAGAACATCTGTCCATCCCAGGTCCTTGGGAAGGACTCCATAGGTGGAGAAAAATGCCAAATCCTGAACATCTGCCTGACTATGCAAAGAACCATAATAAGCCAAACATCTGCAGCACCCCTTAAAACACCATCGGCATTGACAAATTCACCAGCAGTCACTTGCAAAAGGCAGCTTGATTGGGAACGGCTGACATCCTGTAACAATACCTCTACACACCACCAAACATCCACATCTGTCTATCCCAGGTCTTTGGGAAGGACTCTATAGGTCAGACATGTCAAACACAAGACCCGGAGGACGGATGCGGCCCATGAAGTGGTTTCATGTGGCCCGCGAAGCCATCCTGGAAACAGTGAGGGAACGGCTCCCGCTGCCTTGGCCCTGGCCCAGGCCGGCCAGGAGCCAATGTACAATTTTGTGGTGGTCATCTATGCTGAAACGCATTCAGTCTTAGCTCCATAAGCCCCCCCCCCCCGCATGGCCTGAGAGGAACAGTGAGGCTCCTCCAGTGGACCATGCCTTGGCCCTTGCCCCGGTCCCACCTCCTTCTGCCAGAGACCCTCAGATCTGTCCCATTCGTGCCCAGGCCCCCACAGGCACCCTTGACGCGAACGATGTAGAGCTGGCCATGCCCACCCAGTAGGCCACACCCACTCCATCCACACCCACCCAGAAGGCCCCACCCAACCTGCCCACACCCACCCAGCCCCCTGAGGGCAACCACAATGCTGATGCGGCCCTCAATGAAATTAACTTTTGACACCCCTGCTATAGGTGGATAAAAATGCCAAATCCCATCTCAACATCTGACCGACCCTAATAATAATTGCTTGACAACAAAACGGTTAGATTTTTTCTGTAGCTGTAATGAGGAGGACCCACCTAGAGAAAATTTATCCGTGTGGTTGCTAAGATTCAACACCAGCTCAACCGCACATACAGGTTGTCTTCGACTTACATCCGTCACGGCACGTGGACACTTTGGTTGCAAGCCTCGACGGTCGCACGTTGAAGCGTTCCCCAGGACCGATCGGATTTTACGACCTGGTTTTTAGGACTGTTCATTAAGCAAACACGGTGGGTCAAAAAAACTGAAATAATTTCCTGTCAGTGAGAACAATTAACCAGTGGAACAACCAATGCTCAATAGTAGCAACTGTGAGAGGGATCTCGGAGTCCTAGTGGACGATCCCTTAAATAGGAGCCAGCCGTGTGCTGCAGCTGTCAAAAAGGCCAACACAGTGCTGGGCTGCATTGACAGAGGGATAGAATCAAGATCACGGGAAGTGTAAGATGCTAAGAAAAAGACACAGGCATGTGTTGAGCAGAGGTTTGAAGCTGCAGGACACAGCTTGACAAACTCTTGAGTTTATTGCTTCTTATATATTTGTTACATACACCAGCTTTACCATTAGATGCTGACAAAGGTTTCTTCATTGGAAAATGTCTTCATGTAAGCAACTATTTTCTAGTAACACATTACATGGTCAAAGACCAGGTAAAGAGCAAACAGGAGAAGGAACTAACAAAGGCAGGAAAAGATAGGACAGTGTTTCTCGACCTTGACAATTTTAAGGCATGTGGACTTCAACTCCCAGAATTCCACAGCCAGCATTGCTGGCTGTGGAATTCTGGGAGTTGAAGTCCACATGCCTTAAAATTGTCAAGGTTGAGAAACACAGATGATAGGAGAAGGAACTTAAGCATATTATCTGTTTAGGTAGGTGAGGCATTAAGTCAAAAGGGTATGACCTTCTAGCTGCTTCACTAGGACAAAGGGTATCAAAAGGTTATGAGGTTTGTGGGGGGGAAAGTACGGCAGTTTGCTGCGCATGCATTTTTCCCCACAGTGAAGGGTTAATACCGCTTTACAAGGCCTTGGTAAGGCCACACTTGGAATGCTGCATCCAGTTTGGGTCACCACGATGTAAAAAAGATGTTGAGACTCTAGAAAGAGTGCAGAGAAGAGCAAAAAAGATGATTAGGGGACCGGAGGCTAAAACATACAAGAAAAGGCTGCTGGAATTGGGTCTGTCTAGTTCACAGGTCGGCAACCTGCGGCTCCAGAGCCGCATGCGGCTCTTTGAGCCTTCCCCTGTGGCTCTCAGCCTCCTCTGCCTTTGCAGAGAGAGACAGAGACAGAGAGAGGCAATTGCGCTTCCCTGCTTCTCTCTCTCTCTCTCTCTCTCTCTCTGTGTGTATATATGTGTGTGTGTAAAAGAGAGTGCACTCACAGTGTTCTCCGAGGAGCTGAAAAGCTTATTGGGCGGGGCTCCTCCCTTTGCTGCGTCTCTGCAGGAAGCAGGAAGGGCAGGAGAGAGCTAGCTAGCCCAGCTAGGCTGACTCAGGAATTCTGGGAGTTGAAGTCCATGAGTCATAAAAGAGACGAGGTTGCTTACCCTGAGCTTGTTGGACAACAGCTTGAAGCTTGCCAGGTGAGCAGCAGATAGGGGGGGGGAGAAGGAGAGAAAGAGAGAGAGAGAGGGAGGGA